AAATTACCTTAAAAAAACAAAGCTGTCCAGTACCTAAAGGAAGTCCATAACATAACAAAGACTGCATCAGGTGAGAAAACACTACTATTCCATTCAACCAAGAAACTTGGTCGGCTACAAACACCCACAGATCAACAAATCGATTAGTCATTGGGGGAAATAAACTGATAGCTCAACCTAGTGAGTGCACCATGACTGAAAATTAAGAATTAACATAAGTTTCTTCATGCACAAGATGACACCTATGAACTTTCAGAATAATAGTGTGGTTGAGTATTTATAAATACCAGATTAAAGAAAGCAAACCAGCCTTCCAATCGGTAAGAAGGTCGACATTACATTTTGTGTGCTACTGTAATTGCAATTTGTAGTACTATAATTCAGAGATTATTTTCCACTCGTTGGGGCAGAGAACTCTAACCCGGACCTAATCGCAGACTCGGACAAGAATAAGGCCTTGCGTCAATAGATCACCGAGTTCCAACACCAACTGGAAGTGCTACAGCTACGAAGCCGATTGGGGTATGCAACACTTGGCAGGGTCGGATGAGGACAAACGTTTTTACAACAGGTCGGTTTATAAGGCTGGTGAAATAGTTTCTGCAATAATACACTAATCAGTCATCAGTGAAATGTTATGTAAGAGTTGTTTCATATCAACCACGCTTCATTGATGTAAGCTTATTCATTTTTTTTAAGTTTTAACATGAACATGATGTTCTCTCTCTCTCGACTATCACGGTCATTGCAGTTTGTACACCGTCAGTTTGTGATCATGAACCACTTCCCACATCCAACGATGAATACTTTGTACATTTCAGTCACTACTGTATACACAAATTAGATAATTAGATACATTTTATTCTTTTTTTGTAAATATTTTCTGTTTTATTATATTTATATATATATATATATATATATATATATATATATATATATTAGTATTCATCATCTGACTTAATACTTCCTCATATTCCTTATATATAAATTCTTGTTAAGTGCACTTCGCAATAAAAATAATTCTGATTAAGATCATTTTATTCTTAGGTTTGCCTCACTCATTTTGGAAATGAGTGGAGCCTGCCACCAACACGAAGATGGTGCGCATCACCAACTCCAAGGCTGTATCTGCCAGCATCCATGAGCCGACTCATCCAACAACGGTATGCAGCAAACATTTGATTTGGCCTGGATATCAACACGTTACTCTACAATCCTACATTTCAAAAGCATGCGATCAAAACAGATTAATGTTGGCTTACCCTTTATTTCCACATGTCCAGACACACTTGTCAATAATTGTGAACAACACCGCAGTATTTACCATATATTTCACTCAAACTAATCTCTAATAGAAAGTTTCCATAACCAGAAATGTTAGTTTCTGAATGCAATCACACACTGTCTTCCCGGTGCCACTGTGCCAGTCGTTCTGGATAAACTTCTGTGTCTTCTACCCTCAATCCTTCATCCAAAAGATTTGTTGTACACATTGGCAAGAACATTCATGATCCCTGGACTTCACAAACATTTACTGCCATGATGATAACTGTGGTTGCCATTGTACAGTAGGTACCAGATTTGCTTGGATGGTCAGATTTGCTCAGTGTCCTTTGCCTGCGTTTGTATGATGATGTAGCACGTTGTGATTGGCTGTCAGAGAGTCATAGAGAGAGATCAATGTCTCCTCATCAAAGAGTAAAAACTCAAACACACAGCGTCCAAACTGCCTTAAATGTTACACGGTTGATCAGAGTCCATGTCTGGACACGTTTACATGGCAATATTCAATGTGTGTAATGAAGCCACCTACTGGTAACAGACAGTAAGCCTCGCCCTCGCGTAACATGTTTCACTCGTCTAACATCAAATGTAGGCTACACTATGTGCCATCACTTCTTTTTGTGTGCAAAACTAATGACAGTTTAAACCAGTTTTGACGGCCCTTGTGTTTCTTGGTAAAAATTGTCCATAGATTCAAAGCATTTATTGTTCATCCATATTCTCCGTTCGAAGACCGGCCAAAACTACATGTAAACTGTCCAACAAACAGCCAATCACAATGTGCTATATCATCACACAAACGTACAGTCAATCATATTGTGTAACGTCACTAGCAGACGCATGACCCCGAGCAGATGTGGCAGCAGTGGTTTATTTCAGCACCAGGTGCTGTGCAGTGTCTGCTGCGCTGTTCCCATGCACCCTGTTCCGTGGCTAGAATGTTTTTGTTTGCCGCTGATTGTCACGGGGTTGTTGTTAAGAAAAAAAATAAGTAAGGTGAGAGCTCAGATTAGATGTTTCCTCGTTTTACAGGTATCTTTTTGGTGCAGATTTTACAAATTGCATTATCTAAATTAGTTATTTCTCCTTTTTAGTTTTTAAGGGGCGAAGTTACATTTTGTTTAGGTACCAGTGCAGTTGCCATTGTTTCCTTCTGAACATGAGGTGGGCTGAGGCAGCTTCACGTGCGGTTGTGGCGGTTGCCTCTGTTCTCCGCTGTTGGCTACCGCGGTAATTCATTTTGGCGAGTACTGCGACACCCTGTGTGGAATCCTTAGATTATAAAAGAAGACTCAGCAATTCTTTCAATGATCATCTCAAATTTATTTGGGGATCTCAAAGTGCATATGTGAACAGTGATGTTGTGAAGTCGGTGTAGTCAGGTTTTACAACAACAAAAATGTATGGTAACTATCCAATTTCCTTTAATATGACCCCTAAAAGAAACACAAGCTATTTCAAAAACAGACGAAAGTCATTGCATAATCCATACAGTAAATCAACATTCACAATAACAGTATTTTCTCACAGCATTAGGCTAGAAGCAAAGGGCAGCTAAGCAGAATGACAGGTCCAGACAGCCACAATGGTCAAAACAAAATCCAAAGTTACAAAACATAATTTGAACAAGTATTACATGATTGTGATGCAGGGACATGTTAGGTATTTTATCAAAATGAGGAGCTCATCATCTAGATAGTCCTCAAGTGAGAGGAATTCAGACACTGAGAAAGTTGATAATGATCTTCTGATTAGAGAAATCAGAACTATTGAATGTTTTTCTTTGACAAATGTTACCACTAGATGCCACCATGTTTATGGCATGGAAGAATGTTGATGGAGATATTCAAGCTGTCGAACCGCTGCCAAGCACTGGGTGAACATAAATAGTTACTAACCAACCTCTCTCTTCTCATCTTATTTTAATCTACAACGAACCATTTTCCAACATAACCATTTCTTCACTTACTAGGAATGATCCATATATAACTTAATATCAAACCCACCTTTACTTTTAAACACTTCCTCAGGTAAGACCAGTTCTTCTACTTTGCTATTTCTAACTTTGTTCCCAAACATAACCATGTCTGTATTGCAACATATAACCTACAAAACATTGCAATTAGTAAGTATTGAGTTAGGCAAATAAAGCTACCACACATTTTGCTAGACAATATCAAGTGCCCATCCATAACTCTAGCCTTCACTGTACACTAAACACTCTAACCACTAACCATCACTGTATTATTAAAGTCCAGAGCCATATCTTTTCAAACTTAAACAGCTGTCAGCAACTCCAGTATCTTTCACTATCAATCTCATCAGCCCAGGTAAATGGACTGCAATTACAAGAAAGTCAGTAAAGTAGTCCTGCCTAAAAGCAAATTAAAGTATATCATTCATTACAACAGCATACACTGGTTTGCCTGAATTAATCTTCCATGCCATAAAACCTTTGTTTCTAGTGCAAAATTATATCAGACTGTGTCACTCAAGAAGGAGAAACCCTACGGTTTATTTGATGCCTCCTAGTCTTATGGAGTGTAAAGTTCACATTTTCAATGTTGAACTGTCAGCAGGTTAGCTAAATAGCTTACCAGGATAGCCTCTGCCTGGGCTCCCATTTCTATAAATAGTCGGAGAAAGTCAAACTTCATTCTGCTTGTAGTTTGTTTTTGTTTTTTTAACACAACATCATTCTACAACTGTGTGAAATTCTGTTATTATACAACAGCAAAGGTATTCTGGTAATTATTACTTATTAGGTAGAGGATTTTGAAGAACTACTTTACATGACCATGACACATCTTTTATGTTATGAGACATCAATTACTCTCCTACAAAACAGTATTAACACAAGTTGAGGTTGCAGTATCTAATTTATGTCATTTTTGTTAGCACAATAATAAAACATTTAAAGTTACAGAAAGGAGGAAACAGAAAAAACAATTGTGCACATATATACCATTACAAATATGTTTGACTTAACAAGAATATATTCTACTTGGTGGTCAGCTAATTATAGTCAGAATTTCTTTTTAAAAACTTTTTTTTTGTGCTTTATCAGTGCAAAGACATAACAATCTCATCAGTAACGTCTCCATAGTTAGCACCACCACATGTCCATCTGCTTCAGGAACAGGTTGGATGTAAATGGAGACAGTCATAGTATCTCCACCTCACATGAGATACTTCTGTGCAAATGGTATGCTTTCAATCCAAACGCCACCAAGCAATGGTGTAGTCTGTTTGTGCACAAGCTATGTACCTTGTCTAAGTTTCTGCTACAAAATTAACCGGGATAAGTATATAAATATATTCTGTGTAATTCAAATTAATAAATACATTTATATTTCAGTTAAAGTTATGCTCTCAGTCTTTTCGGTACATAAAAACAACAAAAGTGACATAGAAGGGACAGAAGACTATCATTTGGTTTTAGATGCTAGACCTACATGCCTTCATGAATTACAGTGATTAAGGTGCATCCATACGTGATTATTGTACGACAAGTCACTCTTATATGATTAAATAAGAGTTTTTAATTTGTATCCCATAAGATCTAACGTCACTCATGTGAAGACCGAGGCCAGGAGTCATGTGTCACCTTACCTGACATTATTCTATTTGCTTTTAAAATAAATTACTGATAAATAATCCTTATCTCTGCACACTGAGTGTAATCCTTCTTGTCCACCAGTATGTTTACATAACAGCTGATCAAAATGTGGTGCACTCTGTTAACAGCCTGTGCAATGCTGCACCTCACACTTTTAATACTGTGCAACATTATTCTGAAGTATCATGTGGTCAAAAGCACAATAGACCACACCTAGCATTTTTAACAATAAAGAAGACATCAAAGTTTTACTCCTTATATATGACTGATAGGCGACCTTGATTAGGTGCATTTCGAAAAAAAAAAAAAAAACTACTGCAGCTCTTAGCACCACTTATGGAGTAAAAGCAAAATAAGAAACCTTCACAGAATATGGAAAACCATTATGAAGGAACTAGGGCTGTTAAACGATTATAAAATGTAGACGTGATTAATCACACATTTTTAATGGTTAATCACGATTCATAATTGCATGTTTAAAGTTGCATTATTTTGCATTTAAAAATCAAGATTGTTTATTTTGAATTTATGTACCATCTTAGTGCCAATGCCCACATACTCTACGTTTACTACCACTCTAGTCAGTGCTCCTCTTTCAACAGAAAGCGACCAAGACTTAATTGGACACAATCGTTCCAACTCCATTTATCGTCTGTCTAAGATTTTAACTCCTTGAACACCTGACAGAAGTGCCATTTAGGGAAACCCTTTTAACCAAACCGGTGACTAAATATGACATAGTTATATGCCTGACAATAATGGGCATATGGAATTAAAAGTTTTAATTCCATATATAACAACAATTGTATTTTAGCTTATAAAAATAGTTTGAATGATTCACTTTAACCTGCAAGCATCTCCTGAAATCCACTCACAAAGTTCACTAGTAAAAGGAGACCCTGCTTACCTATCCATGACTGAGGAACATGAATAGGCCCTAAATGTAAACTTTTTTTTTTTTTCAGAGTGAGATATTTATTATTTATAGATGTAATTTTCCATCAAAAATATTCTCAGGTTTCTTTTGTTACAGTGTACCAACATTAAACAAACACATAATTTTATCATGTAACAATAATATACTCTTTACCCAGTTTGGTCGAGTATAGCTGGAAACTGGCAAACAAGTAGCTTATGAGGCAGCTAGCTAACATGCTTCCAAATTTAGAGCAGTAAAGGTAATTTTACTGTTTAGCCAATCACAAAAAACGTAGTTATTTCAACATAATAAAAATGAAGGGCCTGTGTGACATTCCCTATCAAAAGCTTCACATGAACATTTAATCTCAGGTGAGAGACATATGTAGAGCTTCTCATGTCAAAACAATTAGTTAAAGAAGGGTGATTAGCTTCTATGATGAAACTCTGAGGGTACTCTAGACTAAAGAACTTATGATTAAGTAGACATGTACCAAGTTAGACACACCTGCTTCATCAGAGCATCAGCATTTACTTCAAACATCATACTCATGTAGTCGTACTACCTTCCTGCAAGTGACACAAAGTAAATTATGATGACTTAAAAAGGAACATTTCTTCATATGATCCGACTCATTTCACTTCATATTTTTAATCTACATCAGGCTCAAGACATAAAATAGAGAAATTAAAACAGTTACCTGACTCAACTCAAATTGATCTGAGCCAGAATGATACCTCACATATACTTCAATAATTCTGCTTTTTAGGGGTTGATATTCCAAAAGTTGCATGTTGTCAACACCCAGGAAGGCTTTAAGTATTGGCCTGTTCCTAATGTCTGTTGTTTCACATTAATATCTAGTCCTATACTGTATCACTGCTGTGTACAATTTAGCTTAAAGCAATACTTATATAAAACAAGTTATACCATGATTGTCTATTTTATTATCCACAAAAATAATCTGCAACAAAATACTTATTTTGAAAGCGGTTGTAATGACCCAAGACTTTAGAGGTAGAATCCAATAAATCCTATCTTGTCTCATCTGTCATGTCCTGAAGAAACATGCAGAATAAAGGCCTGAGGGCTTTTGATGCTGAACAAGCAATTGTGAAAATTGTAAGATTGCACAATTGTAAGATTACATTTAATAAGAAAATAAATGTTCTATCAAACTTCTAACCAATGACATCAATACATGAATTTAGTTTCACAAGCCTTTGCACTCTCCTCTCTGTGCGTGGTGTATTGGTTTTCTTCTTTTAGATAAGTGCTTGTGTGTCACTGTATCTATCGCGTTGACACTGGCCATAATTCACATATCTAGTTTCCTAGAAGCACCTTTAGAACCACAATTGCACCATATGAATGGATTATATTTATCATAAAGTGACGCGTGTCAGTATTTTTCAAAGCTTAAGAAATACATAGTGTTGGAGCACTATGTCCTTTTGGATGCACAGCATGATACAGAGCTTTAATTTGCATATTTTTGAGGAAAAAAAAACACTTTTTAGAAATGTATGACCAATTTTAAAGACCATAAATGTGATAGTGTTTGAAACCTGATATTTGCATCTTAAACATGAATTAATACTTCACCTTAATTTTTTAAAGAAAACAACGTTGTGTCTCTATGAAGGGTTAACTTCTATAAAACAAAAAATCTGGAAGAGGGATACTCAAATTTTGTGTTTTCCTGATATTATTATTATTTTTTCAAGATTCATTTTTGGCCTTTTATGCCTTTTTTGATTGGACAGGATAAAGTAGGAAATCGGGAGAGTGGGAAATGACGTGGGGAAAAGAGCCACAGATCGGACTCGAACCTGGGGCCTGGAGGCCATATCCTCCGTACATGGGACGCAACCTAACTGCTACCCCGGATATTATTATAAACCACTACATTGTTAAAATGTTGTTACCTAGACACTAGCAAAGGTATGGGAAAGATGCTGAAACTAGCACTAGTGTTGACATGTTGTTCATTACAATCTCTGAACTGCTTGATCATTTTTTCAAAGCTGAATTCTGTAACACCAATAACTTTTTCCAAATTATGTGAACAAACTACAGATCACGAGTAAACTTTTTTGTGACTTGGCTGAAAAAGTTATGCCAGGAGTTTAAAATGGAGCTTTGTATGAAACTAACAAAACGGACTATTAACTTATCAGAACTAAAACAAGTGTGGAAACGCTTTTCAACTGATTGTTTTGGGTCATCTTTTTGTGGGTGTGGTGACCATACCAGTTAAGGATTGGATCAAAGTGATTTCTTAAAATTATTTGAAGGTGACAACACATACCCGGTGCTCTGTTAGAGCCTGGTAACAGTGTCCATATTGGTGCGTCCTCAGTGCTTGTACGGTGAAGCTTTGGGAAAGCGCCTATAGAGTGGCGTGCTGGTGTGTCTCAGCTGGGCTGCTGGCTGAGAGCAGGCCAGGCAAGTGTTACATTCAGCTGCTGGTTGTGTTGGATCAGGGATGTGTGTCGATAGTGGAGGACCAGCTCTCTCAGCGAAGAGTAGTGGTTGTAGGGCTCAGCAAAGCCATATCCAGTTGATGTCCTGTAGATCACACAGTGCTTCACATCCCCTTCCACACTGCATTGGAAGAAAACGTGTCATTTTATCTGCACAGCTATCATTTTCAACAAGACATAGATGAATCAGTAAATAAATAGTCATACAATGTAGGATTATAGGGATTAGAAAGGGGCAAAATTATGAGTATTTGAAAATGCAAACTATCTGATGCTACTCACACAACAGAGCAGGCAAAGCAACCTCTCTGAGTCTGGCTGTCTCTGATAAGAAAGGTCCCGTCTCTTCTCCCCCTCAGTAGTTCCTCTGCCTCTTTCCGTCTCATACCACCAACATACCAGCTCTGCTCCTCCTGGTGGCTATCGTCTGCCAAGGTGTACGGGCTAAGAGATGTTTTTGTGGTGAAGAGTTAGACCAGATTATTTTTCTTAGTTAGTATTGAAATTCTAAAACATAGGGCTGTTGGTATATTGGATTAATACTTCATTGCCATACTTTATCTTTTTATTTCACACATTGCATTTGTCAGTTTGTACATGCATCTTTAACAGACATAAAACATTACCTGCACACATAGAAAAAACATATTTCAGGTTCTAGCTAGTGGCAACAACAACAAATATGAGTAGCAAATAAGATTCATGAATATTATCCTATATTAATATAATACTATAATCTCAGTTGACCTGGATAAATATGAACACTCACTCTTCTTCTTCATTCCTGAGACCAAGCCATTCATTGATCTGGCTCTGTTTAGTGCCTTGCTGTGTGAGCCATCTGAAACATGAAACATGGACACAACATATTAAAATAAACTGAAATATATGTTAAACACACCCAAAGAGCTAAAATATACGTTCTTCTGTTTCATTGTGTTAATTCAAAAAGCTAAAACAGAGAGATTTTGTTGTAAGATTGTGGAACTTCACCATCAGTTAACGTTGAATTATTGTTTGAATATGCAGTGGTCACATGACTCTTTGCCAGAACACGGACATGTAGTGAGAGGTGACTGTTTAACCATCAAACTGCACGCAAGGCAAGGCTGCCCTCTGTTGCTCACCACAGTTTATCAAGAAAGGATGAAGAAATAAAGCTTGGCGATGTGAGGATATAGCAAAGTCTTGCTAGTTGGCCATGTTGTTTTGCTAAACTCAAATGTTTCAAGCACCACTAGTGTATCTTTCTAAATTAACTCTTGAATTAAATTTGGCCTAAAAATGCTATTTTTGGTTAAAATACCAAAAATAGTGTCCTTGGTGTCACCACTTAACCCCAATTCTGCTGAGTTTAGGCATACAAGATGTAGGAGAAAAACAGCTAGAGAGTAGATTTAAATGTTTTCTGAATTAGAATTTCACAAGTTAAGTGATAACAAGAAAGAGCACCCTTAAAAATCACTTTTGTCATTGGATAAGGCTTATGATTAAGCCCCATACTAAGCATACCAAGATCAGCAGGTGTGGCAACATGGAACAGAACAGCTGACTGTTTACATAATAGTACATAATAGCTGTATCATCTGTCATGTAAAGATTAATTTAATGTAATTGTATCTTTGCTAAACCTATCTTGAGAAAGCTAAATGAAATTACAGGATATCAAAGAATAGGAAACTGTTCTCCTTTCTGTCCTTCTGAGATCTAGATCATAAAATACTTGAGCTTACAGCAAGGTATTGATCTCTGATCTTCCTGAGCTGCACAAGGTCCGGCTTCAAGCTGTTCATCTTCCTGTCGACCTCCATGTGTGCTAGCGCCTTATTCCTCAGCTCCTCCTCTAACTTCTTCTTGCTGCAATGGATCTCCTCCACCCTTGACTGCAGATCATCCGAATTGTTTTGAATCCTTGCAGTAGGGAGAAGAGAAAGAAAGAGAACTCCAACAAACATTCAGTCTGCGTATTTGTTCTGAGTATGGGTATGCTGAATGAAAAAATGAAGGGGTTGGTATTAAGAATCATACTTGTCAGTCTCTGTATTGCTGTCTAATGTGAGGAACATGTCGATGTATTCTTTGCTATAGCGTTCTTGTGTTTCACACTCCTCTTCAAAGATCCGAATGATTTCACTGAAAGCCTCTATGGCTGTCCTGTTGCTCTGCAGTTCCTGTGGAAGGAGGAAATCAAATATCATGACGTAAGGCCTTCAAGCCCCTACAGTCAAGGCTCTACTGTGGTAAAGCAAACAGAAGTCAAATATTTACTTAAAAACGTTCTACTTTGAACCAATAAAACCACTGGTTAATTTAGTGAAATGAGGTTTCACTGATGAGGATGTTGTTGTACCTGGGATGTTTGGTTAAACTTCTCATACAGATGGTCATATTCTTTGCTCTTCTCTTTGTATTGATCCTGAAGTTTTCTCAGTTGCTCCCCAACTGCATCAATGTCAACTTCCATCACAACCTGCTGCTTCATAGACAAGAGTGGACATTTAAGACGATTTCTGTGTTAAACTCTTTCTATTTCTGGCCAGTACCATATAAAGGTGATCAGAATTATCATTAAAACTCAAACAATGAAACCTCTACAATAAACATAAATTGAAAATCACTCTTTGTGTATAGTTAATTAACATAGCTTGAAGCATCATTTACCCACCTGCTGGTGTCTAGATAGGGGGTAGAGAAGCTGTGTGTCCAGTTTAGAGTTGTACTGGGCCAGAGACTTGTTCTGGAAATACTGAATCAGGTCTACCAATGAGGGAAAAGCCAGTGGCTCAGAGAATCCATACTTTGCCCCATGGTGGAAGATCTTTATCAGTCTGTTTGTGCCATCTTTTCTGCAAAAATCAAAGCGTAACTGTCACTTAAAGCTGTCCAAACTGTCATTGAAAGTACATGATAAAGAATCCCCAAGTTCAAGATCTCTCCAAAGAGGAACAGTAGTAACAGAGGCCTTAAGGAGACGAGAAGGGATCAGTTGAGCCAGTGGGGGTCAAATTTTTGTGTTTCTAGGTGCTATGTCATGCATCAGCATGCACACTTAGAGGCTACTTTGCTCTTAGGAACAAGAAGGGAGCTACCCAGGCTTCAGGGAGGGAGCTTGAGTGTCATCTGTTTGGAACTATTTCACACTTGCTAAGCCAACAAGTTCTTTGGCTACTTGCAATTTCTGGAAGCCAATGATTCTAGGGATAGTGGTAGCCCTTCAAAATACAACACAAACAAGGCTCCAATCATTTATTTTTTATACTGTTTGGTATCAAGATATTTTATCATGGTAGCTGATACATTTAGCCCAAGTATACATATAGGAACCCTAATACGTTGGATTTATTGTCTAAATTTACACTTTTTTATACTGTATCATTAAAATGATAAAAACTTTTTTGTCTTCCATGTTATTTTATGCAACACTTAATAGTTTTAACTTCCTGTTTTAATGCCCAGTTCAACCAACCAACAGCCACAATATTGTGGTTTCTTTTAACCACATACAGCCCAATTTCCCATATAGCCCAATAAGCAATGTATTGCATGCACAAGCAAATTGGAAAATTCTGATTTGAATGCTAAAAAGAGTTTGGGGTAACATCAGTGATTTGTACTAGGTTCTAGCAGGTCAAAGACTTATACACTTACTTCTTCAGGACTTTATACTATACTGCACTTAAACAGTTGTACTTTACCCAATGTCCTGATGGAAGAATTTGAGATTTGCATACAATTTATAAGTCTTAAAGACAGTTACCTTAATGTAAGAGTGTATTCTCCCTTAACCTTGCTGGAGGCATCTCGAACCAGGAATGTCCCATCAGGAGTGTTTCTCATAATCTCATTTACTTCCTCTCTGGACAACCATAGAGCACACAGTTTCAGTATAACATGTACATGTACAAGTTTCATATGAACAATACCGGATTAAAATGTTGTATTTCAATAGCAAGCGTACAAAAAAAGAATCTACAATACTTGTGAAAATATTCCATACCTCGAGATATTTCCCCAGTACCACTCTGCCTCTGATAGATGGTTTTCATCAGAGCTGGAACCACATGCTGCCATAGCTTTGGTTATTTTGTTCTCGGATTGAAGGTCTGACCACAAAGGAATCAAAAATGTTGGTTACAAATACAGAATTTAAGAATATCCAGTCTTAGTATGCAGGAGTCTCTTCTCTTTAAAACAATGGATAATACAACATTTCCATTGGAATCTCATATTGTTTTCCGTTAATTATTAAACAATCTTAATTTTACTGATCAGGCTCAAAGTGAGATTTGAGACGCTTTTATAAAGACATTTATAACGCTCATGACGAGCAGAACAGAATTGTAAAAGTGTCTGCTAAATGAACTGTTGAACAAAGACATGCTGGTCAGTACCTCCTTCCTTGGCGATGTTAGTTCTTGGGACAGGAAACACATCATGATCAACAGGGGAGGAGAGGTCCTGCAGAATCGCTGTCAGGGAACAAGACTGAGCCCCGCTGTCGTTTTGCCCCATCTCCGGTTCAAACAACTCTGCAATAACAACCGTACAGCACCAGAGTGTTACTCCTGATGTCAGATGAAGCCGGCCTGTTTGTGGCTATCTGCACTTTGTGGCTGCTCAGCACACACTGCTGGCCCAATGACAAAGGCTCCAGAGGGAGAACTCGTTGTGTTGCTTAGTCTTGCACCATGTGGGAGACTCTGTCCAGACTAGTCTGCTGACAGGTGACACTGTCTGACTGCCTAAAATACCAGAACTGGCACTCCTCAACGATCAGGCACACTCACCCAGACTCAGTGCTGCTCAGTGCTCGACCTCGCCTTGCCTTGCCTCTTCTCACCATGCCTCGTCTTGCCTAACAAACAACAGCTGTCTGCAGAGAGATGCCATGTTGGCCTAAAGGGAGCTGGAGCTGATGTGCCACTGTGTCTGTTTTTGTTTATTGGCTTTGTGTGTGTTAATGTGGCACTAGGGAAGCGGGGAAGGTGAGAACCTGTCCGTCAGGCATTTCCTAAAAAGCATCTATGTGTGAATTGATTGTGTTTACCAGTCTGTGGCTATGCAAACATACACTGTATGTGTGTGGTGAGAGGCATGCTGCTAGCAGTTGATGTAAATCATCCCTTCAGCACTTGTGATGGCATGCCAGCAGATACATTTAATCACTGCTGCAAAAGGAGCTGCATGCTTAAGGAATCATATGTATGTCATTGTAAAATGAGAAAGGGAGTAAACTCATTAACCCATCCTACGGACATAGTGAAACTCTGTCGAAACCGCTATATTAAAAAAAACAAAAAAAACAATTTGAGTTTTTGAAATTATTTTTCTAAAGGGCTAAAACAAAGTCAAAAGAAAATGAACTATGAACTATGAACTACTTTAATAATCAGTCAAGGAGTTATTGAAGCAAACATTCCAGACATCCTTGCTTAGGGTTTCTGAAGAAAAGCACCAAGACTTTACATTTGTCACAGTACTTTTTCTATCTTTGGTTGTAGACTTAAGGTAACAAACTGATATCTGAATATGTCACCTTTGGCTTTAGTAAAATGACAGGATACAATTTTTATATTTTTATGTGTTTACTTATACTATTTTCTAATATTTAGAACTCAACAATTCGTCTTTGTCTTTTGTCATATACATATAACTATTCTTATCAAATTTATAGCAGAATAAATATAAACAGTACCTTAACAGTACCCTATCTTACCTTGAACTTGCTGAACTGCTGATGAAGCTTCAAACCCAGTCTCCACTGATATGTCTTTCTTTAGTTGGGATTGGTTAAGTGGTAATGACATCGTATCAGGAACTACAGAGAGGGCTCAGGATTATCCATCATATGGTTGGTGACCTCTTTGATGACCACATCATCATCCCTGAGATGGAGGGATGCTAGTGATGATGTGGGAAAATCAGTTGGCTGAAACTTGGGTTCCTCAGCGCAGTCGTTGCTGTCGTAACCTCTGAGCTGGAAACCCTCCTCTGCCATTTTCATAACTCACATTGAATAGTCCCGCTAGGTTTTATTGAGGTGAAGCAGCAGGATGGTAGGTGCCAGGGTGCTGTTGATCACATACTATCAGCTCACAGTCGCACTCATGGCTGAAGACAGAGAGGCTGATTGTGCAGAGTTCACGGTTGTCCTGTGTTGTGGAGATAAAGTGCGTTCCTCAACCTGAACCCCTGGGATACCCTCATCACAGAGCAAAGCGATGACATCGCCAGTAGATTCTGTGGTTTCACTTTTATACACAGTGGTAGTTTCTTATACTCTTTTGCTGCTCAGCTTCACCGTCATTCCAGAGGGATTCATACCTGTGAGCTACCCGGAACAACCATAGGTGGTTACAGCAAAGCTGAATGCCTGCTTCACAGAAACCTTAGCAATACTCATTGAGCTGTAAACCCACTGGAGAGTGACAGATTGAAGCATGTTGATGTATTTTCTCCATCATCTTATATTAGAAATCCTAAAACAAAAAAAGATATAGAGTGCATGAATTAGTTTAGTACAATTGGACTTAAAACTTTCATGAAATGATAGCATGTGGCATAACAGCTTTGTTACAATCTGCACTCCTCACAACTGTATATTTAGCTATTTTTAGTCTTTTAACGCTGCTATATTATCCTATATATATTACCCTTCTGTGTTTCAGACTTTCTGCCTATTGTGGCACTTACTGTCCTATTTTTTATACTAAAATATTTAACACCATAATTATCTGATATGTTTAAAGGAGCTTAGGAATAAAGAAACATGTGTTACCATTTTTAAGATGGCCTGAGTTTTTTTGTAGTATTTATGTAAATATCCATTTATAAGTCTAGTACCATATAATAAAAGGAATGAATTCTTCTCAATCCACAGTTGTTAAACAATAAATACACACATAATTAAAAAAATCACAAAAAACAGTACAACCAGAACCACATCAAGGTGATGTGGATAATGAATAATTAGAGTACCATTAGAGTAAAAAAAACCTGTATCGAGAACGTCACTTAGCGTCCCTCTTAATCCACTGTCTTAATTCTCGGTGGTCAAGAGGTGCAGATTTACTGCAGAGGTTTGTTATGTCAAGCACGATCCAGGCTGTGAAAATGTATCTTTAAAAGATATTAACCTATATTTTTCATACAACTATTGGGGAACTTTAAATGCCTAATGAAATATAATAATCAGAAGAACAAAAATTCAAATCAAGTGTTAAGAGTGTAATTTTGAATCAATGAAATCAAAATATTGTAAAAAAAATATATATAAGTAAGTATAGATTAGATTATTAGATATGATATTTCCTGGATTTCACAGGAATTTTCTTTCCGTGAGGTCACTGTATTTTTTTTTTTACAGTAACTGCAAAGTGTCATAATAAAACCAGTGACATGGCAAATACGTTATGGAGCTCAGCCTAAGTTTAAATCGTCTACTCAAGATTTGTCATTGCTTTATTACCATTCTATATATCATATAATTTCATATCTTAGCGAAGGGATGCAACGCTGTAATATCGTCTAGCTGCCTTACGTGACAAAAATGAATCGCTTAATATAAATCAAAATGCGTTGAAATGAGATGTATTATTTATTTTGTTTCTGTAAACATGTTTATCTGACATTAATTTACAGAAAAATGTGACCTCATTTATCATTATACAACTTATGATTTTAGACATTTCGTCTTTTTTTTTATTTGATTAAAAAAACAAAACAGGTAATTAACAACTTAAACGTACCTGTTATTATTGTTTACAGATGATGAAGACTTTGGTGTGTTTTTATAAAACATAAAATATTTGAATTTTCTGTGAATTTACTGAGTGACGAAAAATTGCAGATCACCAATGAAAATGGCGTCACCATCAAATAATCCGAATGGTGCGCAGCAAGAAAGCCTTCACAGCTCTATATTAACTGTGAATTGTGTCCAGCTACGATGGATATTTAGAAACATTTTTTAAAAAAGTCCTGAGGTCATTATCACATAAGTCTATTTTATCTTGTGTAGAAACTTCCAGTACACTTTCATCTGGGACAAAAAACATTAGTTAGTTTTTCCTCTTACATTTTTGTTGGTGTGTCGTAATAATGACTTTACCAAAACAAAATAAATTGTGTTCGCTTGGTTTATGCAGGATCACTGGATTGGTGGATCCATGAAGGAAAACATTGGTGAGAAGCAATTGGGAATCTCCAAAGTCCCATTGCGTAAGTTGCACGCAGCGCTTTACTTTCACAGAATGCCAGGCAATTGGAATCGATCATCAATAGAATAGCCAATCTACCATCCAAATAACAATGCTGAATATTTGTGATGGAGGCTGTCATCTGAATTGTTTTGGTTTTGTTTTTTTTGGTAAAAATGTAGTTGTAGACCGTTATTGAACGGGACAGCTGATGTACGCCATATTTTCCCATCGCCTATGAGCTCTCCATCGTCCCAATCCCAGGCTTGGAATGACGAAGCGATATGAAGACTAAAAATGCACACAACTTTCCCAAAATCAACTTCTGGTTTGATAAGAGCCTGTAAAAAAGACACATCATCAGCAAACTCTGCAGGACGGGACAGTACGCACCTACCTGGGCCAAGACAGAGGAGACCGGGCAGCAAGGGAAACCAACATTTCACCGACATCCATGAAGCGTCAAAGAGACGTGGCCGGACGCACACGTGGCTCAGATCAAACCAACCACAGGCCTCGGTCCTCACGCCATCCTATGTCCCTCCACCCCCCCACTCCTCCTATCCCGTACCGCCTCTCCTCTCGTGTCCTCCATCTTTTAAAGATCCACTCCATTTGGTTCTTGTACGCCCCCTCAAGAGTGCCCCATTTTCCCACGATGCCAATTCTCTGGATATTTCCTCTTCTCTTCATCGTTACACTTCAAGTCCTCATGAAAACCTAGATTTTTTTCCAAGACATGTCCCTCTTTCTATTTACTTTTGCATGCAATGCACTGCAATGCAAGGAAATAAATCACCAAACTGCTGGGTGCAGAATGAAAAAAGTATTTAAAAAAATTTGTATATATACAATGAAAAAATCTATTTAAAAAATGGAGGTTGTAGAGATTATGCATCAAAAGGAAATGCAAAAGTAGAAGAGCAGGAGCACTCTTCACACCGTAACTCTTTTTCACAGTTTGAGAGCACAGTGGGGGGACAGAAGCATGAGAATGAGTCGGTGGGAAAAAAAACCCTCCTATATAAATAAATAAGGGAAGGATGCCACTGTTGCTATACAGAGAGAGGGGCTTAGCAGTCTCCTGAAATCCTATTGGCCGGCTTGTTGCCATGTGCTTTGGAGTCAGCAGAGAGATGCTGCTAACAAATCAAGGAAACGTTCTAATATTAGACTGTATGTATCTAGGCAGCAGGAGCCCCTGACCTCTCAACTCTGCCAGCGTTACGTTCCACTTCACAGATCAGCATAATGAAAGAAGTGGTGTGGAAGTAACTGGTTAAAAAAATGTGACGGCGCTGTAGACAAAACAGCAGACACAGCCCCCCGCCACCCCAACCCAATACATAATATTCCAGCCTCACAGTTACAAGACAGGCACGTCTTCTGATGGGGTTTCTGATACTTATGATATTTGATTCCTGTGGTGATGATGCTAGAGTTTCCTGCTGTAGACAGTTTGTAAAGCATTCAGTTTGTAACTAGTGTTTTGTATAATGTTAAAATTATATCTTGACTAATATTATAGTTTAAGATTCCTCTGTAATAAACTAGGTCAATGCATTAAAAATTCAACAAAAATGTGCCTGGTTAGCAAAAAAGAAAGCATGTATGCTGTATGTCTGTCTTTGTTGTTGTTTGCCATTTTACCCAATACCCTGCACTTCTTCTGATATTTACTCGTGTGATTACTCAGTTATCTTTTACAATATGTATAGCCAACTCTTTTGATTGCCAGATCTCATATGTATTACACATTCATCTATTTATATTGAGGCCATGGCTTTTAAAATATCATTCCCTACACATTCTTTGTTTATTATTCTGTTTATCTGTTTGTAATTGTAAATGGACTTCAGCTTGTATAGTGCTTTTCTAGTCTGTAAGCGCTTCTACACCGCAGGGCACACCTACCCATTCACAGCCATTCATACACTTACAGCAGAGCTATGTAAAGTTTCCATTAGCATTAACTAATCCTTTCAAACACATCCATACACCACCAACGAAGCAGCGAAAGCAACTTGAGCTTAGGTGTCTTGTCTAGGACACAAGACAGGAGCTGCAGGAGCTGGTGATCAAACCCCCAACCTTCCGGTTGAGAGACAACTCTACCATTGATCCACAGGCGCCCCCTGTCTTATTGCATTTTTTAAAAAAGTTATCAAATTTAATTAGATTACAATGACATAATACTTTTTCATTGTGTTAGCTTTTTATAGTGTGCAACTATATTACAGAATACATTTTCTTGCTGGGCAGAGATGTTTTGTAAAGTACAAAGATTATACTTTCTTTGATTATTGCCGTGCATGAAGACCATGCTTTACCATTTTGCAAAAATGGAGCCAATGTGGAAGTGCAAAATCCTGCAGTTCATCAAGGGTCTGATTGAGGCTGGCTCCAAGAGCCCAGAAGTCATACACACCCTGCAGCGTTTTTACAGCGGAACATGTTTACAGTCTGGTTCAAAACACGGATATTAGTCCTATTAGTTATTGTCCTCACTCCTCATTGGCATATACAGGGGTGCATTATTTGTAACTCATCTGTTTTGATTTTATGTACAATACGTGTTATTTATAGTTAGGCAGGAGGCTGACCTTATTGATGGGCAGACGAGATGTAGCGGCTGCAGCTGCCACCCATGGAAATCCAAAACCCCCTGCAGTAACAGATGGATGACGTGACTTAGACTTTGTCAATTAATATTTTTTACAGTGTATGGTTAAGCAGTTCTTCCAGCTGAACAACCTGCTGATGTAAAAAACAATTTACTTCATCATGATGTAAACCATCCACCCTTGTGACCATCATGAATCCTTCCCAGGGTCACACTTTTGGGTTTGACTAGCCTAATGTTATTTTTACCAAATCACAGACGAATGTGAGTCTCTCTCGTAACATCATGATTGAAGCCTCGAGACACACATGCAGTCTCTTGGCTTATGTGTTTATAACAAGCCTTTTTTGTGTTAAGAAGACCAGAGGTTGTCACGCTATAAAGGTATCTAATCACCACAGAAATCCATTTCACACTCCTTTGTATCAAATGCCATGCAGCAGCATTTAAATTATCCTGTGATCTGAGTTTAAAGACCTGAGAATCTTGTGCCTGTTAAATTAGTTCACAGAAGACTGTAGTCATGAGTGCATGGAACAACCAAAACCCACGTGCAACTGCAAGTGTTGTACTTGAAGCGTTTGTCTACATGGGAGAGTGCAATTAAGTTGAATGAAATGTATCAGATGGCTAAAATGTAGACCTGGTCAATTCCAGTCACAGAAATGTAAAGTTTATAGATAAAATAGAAACTTAAAGTCAAAATGTAAAAGCCTAAGTCTAAAAGAAAAAAGTTATACAAAGTCAGAGCTCCAGTTGAACATTTCCCTGGCATAAATAAAAAATGTACCAAACATATATCTGGAAAATATGTGTCTAGTTCTAGAGAGTTGAACATATCCTAACAAACACATACTTGAGAGTGTTAGTGGTTAGCATTGTGGACAGTGAACATTATTTTACAGAGAAACATATTCTGTGAAACAAATAAATGCAGTGTCCATTCAGCACAATCTGAATATGAATGTGGAATCTTTAAGGAAGGCACAGGATTTTGGTGTTGGAAGCCGTCAGGTTTCCTATTATGTCGTGGGTTCTGAGATTGTCAGTGCAGAAAGTGGAACAAATTTCATCTGTCTACATCAAAGCATGATCTTAGTGAGCTCAGACAGCTCTCTGTTGTTTGTATTTTTTATTTGTGTTGTGACTGTAAAAATGATACATTTTTGCATACTTGTTTTCCATAGATTATCATGTTTTGTGTTAGTCATTTGTCTTTTGTTTCAAAGAACATATCCTTGTTTGCTTCTAGGAACTAGAGACTGATCAGAAACATTATTTTAAATATTTGCTTGATTTTGTTGTTCTTAACAGATCAGTAAATGTCTGCGGTAGCCAATGCCAGTACAGTCCCAGTTGACTTAAAAAGTTTAGATAGCTAGAAAATGGTTTGACTTCTTGTAGGCTTTAAGGCAGAGACCAACCGTCCCCTCGTCTCTAGACTCTACCAGCTGTATCTGGCCAGAAGTAAAGTCTTCATATCAGCGGTAGAGAGAAGGTGGAGCAGATGGTGATAGACAGTTTGTTGCAACATCTACAACCTTGCAAGATGGCAAGGTAAAGGTTAACCATACATTAATGCAGAAATACTTGTGAGTTTTTAGGTGGTTTTGCAACAGAATGATTTTATATTGATGCCTCTGTATGACCTTCTAATGCACACCTGGCCATTAGCATAAAGATTAACTAATTCTATATACAGTGAACAAAAAAATAAAGGCAACACTTTTTTTTCCTCCATGAATTGGAATCAAAACTAAGACTTTTTTTGTATGTACACAAAAGGCCAATTTCTCTCAAATTTTGTTCACAAATGTGTTTAAATCTGAGTTTGTGAGGACTTCTCCTTTGCAGAGACAATCCATCCACCTGACAGGTGTGGCATGTCAGGATGCTGATTATATCGTTTGTGTGACTTAAGCTAGTCAGACTAAAAGGCCAACCTACAATGTGCAGTTTTATCACACATCACAATGCCATAGATGTACATCCAACCGGCCTCACAACCGCAGACCACGTGTAACTACGCCAGCCCATGACTCCACATCTGTCACATCATCTTAGACCAGCCACCCGGACAGTTGATGTAACAATTGGTTTGCATAACCAAAGAATCTCTGCACAGTCTGTCAACTGTCACAGGGAAGCCTATCTGCATGCTTGTCATCCTAACCGGGGTCTTGACCTGACAGTAGTTCTTCATTGTAACCAACATGAGTGAGCAGTTCTCACTGAAGGTGTCTGGCTCTTAGGAGAAGTCTTCTCTTTACACTTTACACTTCTGCCAGGTACAGACAGCATGTATGGTGTAGTGTGGGTGAGAAGTTTGCTGATGTGAACTTGTGAATAGAGTGGCCCATGGTGGAAGTGGGATTATGGTATGGGCAGGCATGTGCTACAGACAAAAAACACAGGTGAATTTTATTGTTGGTATTTTGAATAGACTGAGACACCATGATGATGAGATCCTGAGGCCCATTGTTGTGCTATTCTTAAGTTCTTGATGTAGTCGTTTTAGAGTTATTCTAAATGTTGGTTCATGTTTGGGGAAAATGTGGTAAGGATAGATATGGAAATGTACCAGAAGAGTAAAATATCACAACTCAATGTTCAGACAATAATCAGCCTTGGACTTCAAAGTCTGTGTCTCCCTACCTTCAGTTTATATTCATTGGCAACATTTAGTCCTGACACAGGGAGTATTATGAAGGTCATATTGATGGATGGATATACTCTTTGTGTTTGGGTACTTGCCCACTAGTGTTTAATTGAACACAAGTTAACTTTTCCTGCTGTCTGTGTAGTGCTTCAGAAGAATGCCGGTATCTCCCCATATCTTGTTAAACATCAACCCTGCATATCAGAACGCTCCATTAACAAACATACTAATCTGAATGAACTAAATGGTCACTTTGGTTTTATGATTTCTAACTCATTTTCATTATTGAATTATTAATTAAAAGGTTTTCAAGAAATGTTCCTGGATAACGCTGTGTGAGCACATCAGGTTCAAGCAGGAAGCATTAAAACATTCTTCACGTACAGCTTCGCTTCAGGATTATTATTACAATTTTATCATTTTTGAGACAATCCAGGGGGTTGAATATTGAAATTGAAAGGAAGAAAAGGATAATTGGTTACAGTTGCAACAGGACTTTGTTCAGAGCTCTGTCCTGTTGTAACTGCAGGACAGAGTCTGAGACAACTGTCCCCTTTACAACGAAGTTTATCTTATCTTATCTTATATAATAATAGTGTCAAAACTTATCATTTAACTTAAAAACGTATCAAAACCAACGTCACAAAGTGCTTTACAAAATATAAAAATCCTAACAGTAAAATACACAACAATAAAACTATGAAAATAAAGACAATGTAAAAATAAAACAGAAACTAAGACAAAGATTGACTCAAGCTGACAGTAAAATAAATAATATATATAAAACTTGATGGATAAAACAAGGATTACAAAAAGGCCTTTCGATAAAAATAGGTCTTTAAAAGTTATTTAAAAAGATACGGATGTAGCTATGAGATCCTCAGGCAGGTCGTTCCTCAGCAAAGGAGTCGAGGAAACTGCCCAGAACTCTGATCAAGGATAGGATACTATAATCATCTATTATACCAAATAATGCACTTATGCTCCATCACTATGTAGTATATAAGTGTGAAGTAAATAATGTGTGTCTGTCACCAGACACTCATGAGGGCTGCAGTGCGAGAGATGTTCTGATAAGACCAAAACTATTGAAAGTTCAAATCAGTGCAGACTTTAAGTCGGTTACTGATAAATATATTCAGAACATATTTCCCATATTTGCACAAATACCATTATGAATATATCAGAAATTCTAAATGATAAACTATGAGCTTGAAATACTGTGAAATGTTCATATTGAATTAGTGAATGAGCAGACTAATTGTTTAACTAATTACAACTGTATTCAAAGTCTACCCTCTCTCTCCAGTTCATGGAGAAAGGGGGAAAGCAGTGCTGGACGAGGGTCTTTTGTGCTGTGGGAGAGTACAAGAGTTTAATTTGCTAATTTTCTTTTTTATTTGTTTCAAGAAATTCAATTGCCAAATTTTCTGCTTACGAGAGTTTTTTTAACGGGGTTTCATGAATCTACATATTATTCCTTCAATGATCAATTGAATCTGTTTCTCTAAACTTCACATTTTGGCTTTGTATATATTACACAACCTTTTTTTCAAACTTACATACAAATTTTATATGAACAGTTACTTCTACTGTCTCAAACAAGGTTTAAATATTAAGAGGAATATCATCTTGTTAACATTCAATCTTGTCCTCCTGTGCTCTTTAACAGCATTCATGACTTTTCCAGATAGCGCCTCTGCATTCTGATATATATATCAAGTCAAATAGCAGTATTTTATTTAACATTGCATGGCATTAGAAACCAATGTGTAGGCAGGGCTTTTAGGTCCAGATTGGTGACTGTCGCCATGTTGGCATTAATAATTCAACTTAAGAAAGAGCTCATGTGAACATGTGAATCTGAAACTTTAAATGTCACTTCACATAACTTTGACCAGTCGGGGTTTTAGTTTGACTTCAGGCAAAGTGACCTTTATTTTTCTACCTCAACATCAGCAACCTATGGAAAATCATATAAATCTAAGTTATAGGTTGATTGATTTGTATTCTTCTGTGACATTGACTCAAAGCATGGAACTTCTAGGTATTTCATTTTATATCACAAGATAAGTCGAATGCTGGCCTGTGACATTTGTTGCAAGATAATATGGAATTGATTTGTCCTGCATAGGAGTCTTGAGGCATAAGTAATGCTGTCGTCTGACGGCCTCACATCAGCCTTTAAAAGCCAGAAGATGCACTTTCAGTGACCACTGAGCCAACCCTGTACGCTGAGGAGTGTGTCATTGTATCCTGCAGTTTCTTAAATTAAGGCAAAGATCCAGGATGGAGTATCACCATACTACAGAGATGAATGGTGTAGTTACCAAGTACCTGAACATGTGCATCCAGTGTAAACAAAATGATTTGTGCAGAGAACAGAAGGACTCCAAGGACTCTGTAGACACAAACAAGCTGCCTCGCATTGAAAACGCTTATAGCACCATACTGAGTGAGCTGGGAGAGAACGTGGACCGGGATGGACTTCGGCGAACACCACTACGTGCAGCCAAAGCCATGCAGTTCCTCACCAAAGGCTACAAAGAAACTACTCAAGGTGAGTACAGTAGTGTGCATTGTTTGTCAGTCTAGGACTTTTAGTTTGATCCAACATAAATATATGATGACCAAACTTAAAATTTTCTCACAGATATCCTGAATGACGCCATTTTTGATGAAAACCATGAAGAGATGGTGATTGTCAAGGACATTGATTTGTTTTCTCTCTGTGAGCATCACCTTGTGCCTTTCTTTGGAAAGGTAAGCTTTTAAAGTGGTTTAAAAAATCCTAAAAAAGTAATACAACAACAACTCTTTGTCTTTAAAACACCATATAGCATTTAATCAAGTATTTCACTGTATATGATCACACAAGTTTTGATTATAATGAAAGTATGTTTGAATGTTGCAGGCTCACATAGCATACCTCCCAAACAAGAAAGTGGTTGGCCTCAGCAAGCTTGCGAGGTAGGTTTTAAAAACTCACATAAACATGCTGTCATGCACACACATAGATGTCTGTGTCATTCTCATCATTTTCTTTTAGAATTGTGGAGATCTACAGCAGGAGGCTTCAAGGTACAACACTACTGTTTGCATGTATTTCTTCATTCAATTTCTTTATTATTTATTTTAAGATTTGTGTAACATGTTGTGTTTTACTGTCTGCACAGTCCAAGAGCGTCTCACCAAACAGATTGCTTCAGCCATCTCTGAGGCTTTGGAGCCGACTGGAGTTGCAGTGGTGATTGAGGCTGTGTGAGTATTACAGATATTTTATTGATATTCCTGAAGAGTAATTTTTCTTCTTAATTAAGATTTACACAGCAGTTTTTCTTTACTGTTTCATGGCTACTTTAATAGGAGTAAGGCAATAAACTACATCACATTATTGTTTTGCAATTACAATAATATATTTATCATTGCCTAGATTTATTGAAAATGTCATTGCTTCAAGAAATGATTGAATTCTTTGTAAAGCATGCATGTTTGATTGTGATTCAAAAAGATTTCTTTGTGTGTTTTAGCCACATGTGCATGGTGATGAGAGGTGTGCAGAAGATGAATGCCAGCACTGTTACAAGTGTCATGCTGGGAAAATTTCAAGATGATCCCAAGACCAGGAAGGAGTTCCTTGACCTTACACTGAGGAAGTGAACAGATTTCTTCAGCAGGCAGTTCAACTGAAGGAAACGTGTTAAAAAAAAAGTATAACTCAACTGCTGTTGATTGTTGAATGTCTGGCAAACCATACTTTGAAATATGAAACCACACAGTGGGAAATGAACATTGGTGGGTGTTTTGAAATAATGTAATGTCTTCATGGTGCTTTAAGTCCAGTTTAAAAGAAAATTTACAATAAAAACGAACATGATCATTTCTATTTTCACCTGTGTGTTCATCTGTTTTCATCAGCCAATCACTACCAAGTTATTTAAGTCAACATACAACGAGTAAAGTTGTATAGATGCTATTTAACATCCTGGAATGCTAAATACTTTGCATGTACATTATGATGTATAAAAGATGTACAACGATGTCCCCTAGTCATAGTTTGTCTGTTAAATGCTGATAATGCAGGAAAATCTAAAGGCAATCTATCCCCCCATACAACTACTTAAAAAAGGACATCATAGAAAGATTCATCAAGTGCACAACTCGCTGCATTTGTATGGTTATGAATTAACATAACTGATTGTAGACAATGTTTTTTAGGCTTCTTCGATCGCAGAAGTCAGACAAATATGTTAAGGTTATTCTGAAATGAAATATTTTACATTCAAATTTCACACTGCTGACTCTCCTTTGAATCACAATGTGTTTTTACTTAAACTAATCAAAGTCATCCAGCCACAGCTTTATTTTTAAAAAAAAATTCATTCTAATGGTTAACTTTTTGTTCTTGTTGACTTACATTAACGCCATGACCAATGAATCAGCTCTTTTCAAAGGGTGGAAATCAAATCCATCCAGAGAGCATTACATAACCAAACCTGCACACAGTCACAGTAGATCAGAGTAGATCCTGAATGAATCCAAAAGAACATAAATAACGGATTTGATACTCTTTGTGGGTTTAATTATGACTTTTACAAGAAACACGAGACCGATTGTATATGATTGAAACTTTTGCAACCTGTAAATGCACTTGTACTAAGTGTAAAGGCCCGCTACCACAACAGCTTTTTCCCTGCTGCCGTGAGACTTGTAGCACAGGACATTAAGATGAGAAGGAAGTACCTCACCCCACACCTCACAGACTAAATGGACAGTTGACCACCTCACAGTGCAATACAAGTGTGCAATATTAACCTTAAAAACAAAAAAACAGTGCAACTATATAATGTGAAAAATATGTGTGCAATAACCTCAGGTGCAATAAGAGATAATAAGTGCAATAAGAAAACATATTTATATTTTCATTTCATTGTACAGTGTTCCCCTTGTTATTTTCATGTTTTTGTATATCTTTGCTTAGCTGTTAATACAACTTATTTATTTTTACTTTTTTGTACTCTTTTTTTTTCTTACAATGCTATTCTATTTTATATATAATTTTTACTTTTTTGTAGAAGCTGACTCAGGGAGAAACACACAAGAATTCCAATGTACCTGTACTGTCCTGTACCTGTGTGTAAACATCTAAACTAAACTAAACTAAACTATAATGTATTTTTTTAATACTATATTTTGATCCGTGTTTCCTAGTTGATTGACAAATCCTCTTCAAATGTGACGTGAAGTAAGAACGTGGGAAGTAACTACGTCCAGTTTAACAAAGCACAGAAAACTGTTTTAAGGTACTGAAATTAAATACTTTCATTTTCTGCAACTGTATACTTCTACACCGATTGGTCTATTATCATTAAAACGTCTTTATTGTTAAACAATGAGGTCCTTGTGCAGATGCAAAAAACGTTTTCCTTTCAATCAACATTTTTGTAAATATGTTTATTTCAGACATGAATATATATATATATATTTAAATGTAAATATTTATATGAACATACAATGCACAGACAGTTAGTGCAGACTATGACAGTGAAGAGGTTCACAGATCAGTTAATCAAGGCACTACAGAAAGGGAAGACTAAATGGCAACACATGACAGTGTCATGACATTTGATGTCTGTAGAACACACTGCACATGTCACGCAGACACAAGTTTGCATGACGTGCCACTCAGCATCAACACTGGGATATACAGTAAAACGCTGACGTAACATGACCATAGTGTGTTGGGTCAATGTGCGGTTTACCTGGCAAAGGATTTTTGGACGTGTAGTGATGCCTCCTTTGTGTGTTGCCCATTACAGTAAAACATTAGTGGAGTGCAAACAATAAATGTAAGGTCTCTGATCTCCTGACCTCATTTAGACATGTTAGGAGCTCATATTAGTCTACATATAGTACTTAATAAAAACCATTATGGAAAAATAATATTTCTCATATGAACAATACTTATAAATGCAGGGCATATGGCAATATATAAATACATATATATTTAACTAAATTCCAGTGGAGCTTTTCAAAGCTCAGATCCAGTTAAGTTCGCTGCTCTGTCCTCCTCCAGTCTGTCAGTCTGAAGGCTAGGGTTTGGTGGGGCTGGTGGGGCTCCTGGGCTGGGTCTTTGGACTCCCCTAAAAGACAGGAAAGATTCCATTTTTAATTCTCTTTTTTGTTTTTATCATTAGGCTGCAATGGATTATATTTTTAGAAATTCTTTCTGCTCTTTGACAGAAAACAATACACTGGATCTTCAAAAAAAAAAAAACCTCTAGGGGGCAGCAGTGCACCTTCAATCAGTGTAACTCACAACCAAACTGAAACCTGGAGATGATCCTTCTCACTATTAATACTGGAGGAGACATTGCTCACCGTAAAGTTATGTTATGAGTGTGGCCTGCTCTTCAGCCTGATGAATGCAGCTTTCCAGCAGTTTTACAGCCTATGGCTTTCAAGACTATACCATTTTAATCCAAAAAACATAATCCTTTAACCCTGATGTTAAAAAAAAGTTAACTTCACATCTCATTCTTAAACTAAAGTTGATCAAGTTCACTACAGGGAAGATCCAGATGTGGGACTTTACTTGTGTGTTATGTTGTTTTACAGTTTGTAAGTATTTTCTCTTTTGCATGTTGTATTGCAAAACAAATCGTGTTAGTGGTATAAGGATTGATTATTTGGCTTCAACTCAAGTGTGACTACCCCATCTGCTCAGAGGAGGAATACTGCTTGAGGGTGGACTCACCACAGCAGGCTGGGTCTTAGCATAGTTCATGTGGGCGTAGAGCAGCACAGCTGTGTCATTGTGAGATGCCTCGAGTGCGATGGACAGAGCGTTGCTGCCATCCTGCAAACAGAGGAGGAAGAGAGAAACAGATACAGCAGGATTAAGGCAGAGTGAGAAAAAGTGAGTTCACTGGCCCTTACAACACAAGAGACTGAGCTTTACCGGTTTGTCAGGACCACATGATGGACATTATATACGGTTGTTACTTTTCCAGTGGCTTGAACACTCTGCACTCCAACAATATGCCTCTGTCTGCATGTTTAACATCATTTGTGTGATGGGAAACCCATTCATTCTCATTCCCATCAGTCAGGTTACTATCCTGGATCCTTGATTGGCCAGCATAAAAAAATGGAATAATCTTCCGTGCATCCTCAGCATTTCTTTCTCTTAATTCTTCTTTCCTTGCCAATTACTCCAACATGTGAAGCTCCACAAGAAAAAATGTATATTAAGAGTTAGATCCTCACTCTGAAATTGACGTAAAAATTAGCATTATAGCTTGACCTTAGCCTTTTCAAAAGACTGAAAAGGATTTTACTGAAGATGTTGATTTTGCTTTATGTGATTGTCTTCTCTTTTTTTTGTGAGATTTAAAGACAGTTTCACTCAAATTCAGTTAAAGGGTTGGCATATATCTTTCATCTACACGCTGGTACTATTACTTTTTGGGAAACTGTTAAAATAAAAAAAACAATTATGAAATCAAGGAGAGACTTCTACTCATATAATTTCATTTCTTTTCAACACCTCCAGATGCTAACCTGATCAGTATAATTAAAATAATATAAATAAATAATGTACATTAAAGAAGCTTTACAGTATTAAGCTATTTTAATTGATCAATTTATAACTAATATAATTTGAGTATTGATAGACTCATCGAGGTGGGTTTGATTACTCGAGCACTTGTTGATAACGTCAAGTAACGTTTTAATACTCGCGCTCCCACATGTGCGTCGTTTTAGGCTACAATAGTTGAACTAAGTTGGTGTTGCGTGCACCGTGTCAGCCATGAGCAGTAAAAAGTCATATGATTAGTACTTTGGCAAAGAACACAAAAATAACGTGCACTGTAGGATAAGTGGTGTTCAACTTGCATGTCGTAGAAATACTAGTTTGATGCTTAAAGCACAGAGAGCAAGCAGAGACAGACATCAGGCAGTCTCACATCACATCATTAGCTGTTAGCACAAGTTGTTGTGATGATACTTGAGCAGAGAACAACAGCTGAAAAGATGAGCAACAAGGAGGTCCGTGTTGATGACATATTGAAATGACTGAAAATGACCTTCCTGATAAGAATACAGAAATTGAAAGAACTAAAGGTTCAGTATCAGCACATTCCACTTCACTGAGACTTACAGACATAGTTGTTTGTGCTCTTCTGTGTTTTTGGAGGACAGGAGAGGTAGGGGCTTTCCTAAACGTTTTCCAACCCCCACCCCCAGTCCACCTCTTGGTCCAGCTGTGCTACACTGAAACAAAACCCAGGAGGTGGATCCTCTAAAAGGCCAACTCATTCTGGCACAGATGTTAAAGCTCATATATCTGTCTGCCTGAAGTCTCCTCAAGCATCCAGGTCTAACTTCTGTAAAATCACTTAAACACACAACTGTGCGGATTATTGAAAATAATGAGTGTCACAACGAGTGACCTGAATGTTTTCACTTTGATAGATGTTTAAATTTAGTTGGCGATATATATTATCCATCTGACACAATTTTTGATATTTCTGTTTATTATGGATCTATTAAAGTCTCAACGAAATCACTTTTAGACTTCTTGCACCTTTAATGTTTTTTAAGACAGGACAGTTTGTGAAAAAAAAAAAAAAAAGGGTTGCTGCTGACTTATGCACGGGTCACATGAAGAAGTTTTCAGATGACTTGGGCAATGTGTCTGCAGCTGTGGATTTGTGGCTTTTTAATTCCCCCTCTGGGATCTAGTGAGT